GGAAGCTGTACCGCGGTGCGTGCGTACTCGTTACACGATCACCACAACTTTCCTCCCTCAACAGTGCCTCATCAATTTGACTTGCTTTTCGTTGTGATCTCCTTAGTGTTGAGCTGGTTGAGGCTTCCCATTCCGCCGATTCTACTGCATCTTCGTGTTCAACAGCATGACAGTGGGGAACCGTTGTGTCCGATCCAGGCAGTTCAGAATTGGTAGGGTTATCCTCTTTTTCATGGGGTTCCGATGCACCGACAGTCAGTTCGTCTCTGAAATGTATCTGGTCGGTGTGCTGTCGGTGGGCAGATGCATCTGTCGAATCGGTTGACTGACCCAAGTTTCTAGTGATGATGCCACTGACCGGACGCAGATCGTTGCCCCTGAAGTATTCCACCTCTGTATAATCCATACATCTCAGGGAAGACCTCAGGCACCGTGAATTAAACAGCTTTGCCCGACTTTCCTTAGTAGTTACATGTGTCACGTTCCGGTATTGCAGTTGGAAGTTGTCCAGAAACGCCTCCAAGTCCGAAAGTGATTTCGGATTCGCGGATGCCAGTGCACTCTTGACTGTTTTCACACGATTCTCAGCCTGACCATTAGAACAGGGATGTCTTGGGGCTGCACGTAAATGTCGATATCCAATGCTATCGAGCCAAGCTTTCATCTCCGTGGCACTGAATTGAGATCCATTGTCTGAGACAAGCACTTCCGGTATACCTTCTCGACTGAAGCACTTCCGAAGAGCCTGGATCACGAAGGATGTTGTTGGCATACCTGTCAGAAATATTTCCCGCCAATTTGAGTAGGAATCAATGAGAACCAAAGCATAGTATCTATTCAGAAATGAGCCGCAGAAGTCTGCATGTTCCCGTTGCCATGGTCCATACCTTTCTGGCCAAGGAGTCCAGTTTTTCGGTTTCGCCTTTGCTTTGTGCAGATACGCCTCGCAATTCTTCGCATTTGTGCAAATGTCTACATCCAAATCAAGCCATCAACACATTTGTCGAGCCAGAGATTTCATCTTCTCCACTCCCAAATGGCCCTTGTGGAGATCCTCTAAGACTGCTTTTCTTAGCGGCGGAGGTATGATCAGTCGATCACCGCGGCAGAGCACACTGTCTGGCTGTACAGCCAACTCCTCCCGATGGATGTAGAACTGAGGATGTCTCTTCTTTATATCAGGCGGCCATCCTTTCGATAGGGCTGAAATAATCACTGAGTAGTATTGTTTTGTATATCTTCTCAACGCTTCCCTGGAAACTAGTGATGGTTGGGCGACAAAATGACATTTCTGTGCGGCACCAAAGCGTGAGTACCTGGATAGGAAGTCTGCCTGTGGAATCGTCTTGCCTGGTTGATGTATCATATCATAATCGCACGCTGCCAGTGCATTACTCTATCGTTGAATCATGGCGGCTGTGGCTTTAGCGATAGACTTGTTGGGGTTGAGTAAGAATTGTAGCGCCTGATAATCCGTCACAATAGTAAAGTGCAGTCCAAACAAATACTTGTGCAATCTGCGGACAGCCCAAAACACCGCCAGGGCTTTTTTCTGGGTCTGCGAGTACCCCTTCTCTGCATGGTTAAGCAATCGGGAAATACAAAAAACAGGAAGCCCTTCTTGCTCCAACACGGCACCAATGCCCACCTCGGACGCATCTTTCACCAGTGTAATCGATTGTGATGGGGAAAAAGATGCCAGGAATGGACGTTCAGTAATGTTCCGTATCAATTCGTGAAGGGTTCTTTCGCAGTCCACGGTCCATTTCCAGTCTGCTGCGGATTGCGCGACAAACAACGGTTGGGCCCTGGTGCCGAAATCGGGAATAAATCGTGAATAATGCTGAAGGCATCCCATAATCAATCGTAGGTGATTTTGATCTTTCGGGGATTCGATATTCACCAGAGGTTTGAATCGGTTGGGATCAGGTCTATATCCTTTGGAACAAACAGTGAACCCCAGGAACTCCAAATCCATCGTTCCAAACATGCACTTAGATGGTGTGATGTTCACATTTTTCTCCGTGAATCGTTCCAGAAGTTTCTTCGAATTGTTCAGATGTGCTTCTTTCGTTGTTCCAAACAAAATCACATTGCCTTGATATGCCATAACACCGCGTAACCCAGACAAAATATTGTCTATTATGAACTGAAAGATTCCGCATAATACATGCAAAGCGAACGGGAGGAAGTTGTATTGGAACAATCCCCACGTCGTAAATGCCGGCGAATCTGGATGTATTGGAATTTGAAGATAGGCGTCTACCAGATCGAATTTGGAGAAAGAAAGTGTAAACAGCCAGCTGTTGAGCGTGAGCCACGGACCAGACCGGATCGGATTAAGCGAAATAAATTCGAGAAACATGTTTTTAAGACGTATCAGGTCACAATATTTCTAAAAGCTAACCAGGCAGCTGTGCTCACTTTGTAAACCAAATTCTCATCAGTACACGGATTCAGCTTCAAAGCTGGATCTGTGGAACATAATTATCCATTAAACAAGTATGTACCGGACCGAATTGTGTTCCACGGATCCTGCTTTGAGGCTGGTTCCCTGAACTGATCATAATGGGTTAAGGATGGGTTCAGTTGCAGTAGCGGCTGATATCGAGGAGATGTTCATGCAGGTCAAAGTCTCCGAAGGGCAAAGGGATGTGTTCTCCGACAACGAGTCCAATTT